CTCTCTCTCTCTCTCTCTCTCTCTCTCTCTCTCTCTCTCTCTCTTTCTCAAACTTATCCTCTATTAATTAATTTATTAACATTAATTGCTGACAAGACTAACCAAGTTAGAATGGCAAGTCCCGGCCAGCAAAATGCACCTTGTACAATCCACAAGGATTTACTGGAAGATATGAAAATGGCTTTTGTAGGCAAAAAAAAAAAAAAATCTGAAAAACACATATACACATTTAGTGGAACAGCACGTGGCTCTAGCTAAGAAAATAAGTTTATTTCTGTCTTATCAGGAATTAACAACTTTGCTTTCTACACCAACACAGTAACAATGAAACCAATGGCAACAGCATATAAACACATTACAATGCTGGTGCAACATTCACAAACTTTATTAAATTGCTGTTTAAAAAAAACATTACTCCACTAATGCAGTTTATTGCACAGGTTCTTCCACAATCTGCTCTATAAGAATTGATTTAAAAAATGATTTAAAGATTTCAAACATTCCAGGTAGGCCAGAAGAGTTACCTAGTCTCTTCTCCTGGAAGCCAGCCAGACTAGAAGGCTCAAGATATATGTAACAGCCAGCAAAGTAACAAAGAGAATTATAAAGTTCTACATCACTGAAAGTCCACAGGAGCTAGGCTCTTCACCATCAACCCCTTAAACTTTCTAGAAAGCTGCTTAAAATGCACAACCCTCTTTCACTGATACCAGGAAGAAGAAGGCAAGAAATTGTAAGCACGCACGCACACACACACAAAATTATGTGAGAATTTGGTAAAAGTATTTGCATGATGCTATATATTCCACTTGCCTGAGAAACAGGGACCCTTGCAAAAGATAAATTGACAGATGGGTTTGTAGAAGTTTGTATATTACTTAGAACCCATTAGCACCTATTTGAACAGTGGAAAATAAATTAGCACAGTGAAAATATTTTGGCCCTCAACTTCCATCAGTTCTGGCTAATGGTGAGGGACTGTAATCCAAATTTTCTGAAGGACATCAGATTGCCAGCGTCTATTCTTAAGAACCAGGGATCTCTCTTAGTGTCTGAACAGATGTGTTAAGCTGCTATCTAAATCCCGCAAATGAAACTGCTCTAAACATTTTGTACTTTTTAAAAAATGAACCTACGTTAAACCATATGAGTTTTGAGTTGTATGTCACAGCAACAGTGAAGAACGATCCCTGCCCTGTAAAAGTGACTGTGAAGAAAGAACTGAATGATAGGTGCTGCCTAAAATAGTGCATCAATCACTTTGCATATCAAAACAGTAGTTGTACAAAATGTGCTCATTCCATTATACGAAAGTCATGTTACTAAAAATAACTGTATTAGTCATTCACAGAAGAAACTGCAATGCAAGAAAAAAGGCATAACTTGGTTATATCATGCCCCCTATAAGTAAGCTTGCAAATGTATGCTAGCTCTCTTTAGCTGATAACATCTGTCTCAATTCCCTATACTCGTGTGTGTTTTTTTTAATCAACTTTTAAACTATATGCTACTTGCAGCAGGACTCCCTCTCTTCTACTCTGCGAATCACCCTGTATACAAATAAAGCACAAGCAAACAATATTATGTGAAAAAAAGTGAGCAGGATACCAAATGAACTGCTTACAAAGCTGAAATTAACCGCAGTTCTGTTTGTCTTTTTTACCTCTACAGATTAAGATGGCTACTCTTCTGGAATTTGTAGTTAGATGGTTATCCTGAACTGGAACAAATGAGCAAATACTGGTTGCCCAGGCAACAGAGTTTGAAACGCACTCTGAATGGATTGGAGTTTGCAACACTTGGCAAAGAATATTTTATTTTTGTAAAAAAAGAAGCATACTTCTTAGCAGGCTTAAAAAGTAGATCGCCTGTGAATTCTGTTTGGTGTCCAAATTAAAAGCTTCATATTCTTCCAGGACGGTCACAAAGACTAGTTTTATTGAAGGCTTAAAGCTTTTCCTTAAGACCTTTAACTTCTTAAACATTTTCTTCAATGTAGTCCTCTCTTTTCAGTTGAAATGGTTATGATATGACAATTGTTCTAAAATGCTCTTTTCTTACCTTCCTAAACTACTATCAACAGAATGGGTCACTTGTTCTCGTGTAATAGAAATGGAATCAGTTAACATGGCACTAGCAAGCACTAGCACATCCTTTGCCCATTAAGCTGGCACTCATAAATTCCAAAAATTAAATAATACTGAAAAAAAGGCTCAATCTTTTGAGATGGCCAAATTTTCAGTAATCTCATTTGGAAATGAGCCTCTGTTGCAATTCTGAAATATCGGAATGATATCTTGTAAGAATTAGGGGGCTTGTAAGGTTCCATACAAGTAGCATGGGCCATCATACAAGGTCCCATGATGGTTTCTAAGACCTAAGAAATAATGGTTGTCCTTTCAAATTAGGACTTGTCTCTAAAGTTGCAATCTAAGGGACTTTTCCCTATGCTGAGTTGAAGAGCTGTTGAGATGGAAAAAAAAAAAAATGATACTGTATCCCTGTAAAATTGGCTTCCATTGTCCCACTGCTCATCCCAATTCTGCCTCTCTTGCTTTTGTTCCCTGAATGGCCAGTCACCTGATTTCCCTTAAGTTAATGAGAGACAAAGTTTAAGGGATTTTACGCACTTTTAAGGTTGCCCTTGAGTAGTGTCAGAAGTGGGGAAATGCTACTTGAAACACCAATACAGCTGAAGCCCACCTCAGCCTGTCTTCCTCACGGGCTGGAGACAAGATGAAGGCCGTGTCAGAGAGATAAGCCAAAAAAAGATGTTGTCAGGGTATGTGCATTGTGTTTAGAGGAAAATGGGGAAAGGCCTCAAAGCATGAGAACAAGTCGCAGCGAAGTTGGCAAACTATGTAATATTGTCTGAATACCCACATCTGCAGTTCAGTTTAAAAAGTGTGAATTCAGAAGAAAAGTATGTGATTTCAGAAGAAGATTCAAGCTTTCAAGCACATGCACATACTTTGAAATTGTTACAGTGGATTGCCCTTAAAATAAATATATCCAGTTCCAGATTATAACTGAACAGCCTTGCATAATCTACTTTATTTTTATAAAAACTGTTAGGGTAACAAGGGTTGGCATTCAGGAATATTTTAACTGTGATAGCAATTTTTGTCATGAGATCATCTATCTGGATATTCTTAGGCCCCAATTGAGAGCATCTAGGCTTCAGGGCTTTAAAGAAAGAGGACTTTTTATTCACAGCTATCTTTCTCCCATATATGTGCAACTTAAAAAGGCATACTGCAATTTAAAGTCGAAATCCAACCCATCAATTTGGGGAAGGCTGAGTCAGCCATCAATGGAACAAAATTCAGTAAACAATTATTAAACTGCAAGTTAATAAATGAAAAAAAAAAAATCCTGAACTTAACGAGAGTACCAAAAATACACTGTTATTCCCTCCCCCTTGATAGCTAAGATCAAGTGCCTTTTGAGTCCTACTCACCAATTCAGTTGTTTTGACAACATTATAGAAGTTATTGGCTATTGTCTTCTGGAATTTTTTTTTATTTTTGAGTTTTCAGTCTAACTAACCTACAATCCTGGGCTGTCCTAGTGGTCTCCCATCCTGCCTAACGTTCTTCTGATAGCCGCCACGCTCAGCTGAGCACGGCCCCGTTCGGCGGCTACTTCTCCGGGCGACGACAGGGAGGTGCTTTTCCTCCTCCGCCGAGGGCTGCCCTCCCTGTTCCCGTGTTGGTCTAAGAGGGGGGGGGGGGGGCAGGCGGGCCGCGAGCGGGGGGGGGGGGGGGGCA